ACCACCACACCTCCACCACACACGTCCACCACCTCCACTACCACACCTTCACCACCTCCCTCCCACTACCACCACCACCCACCACCTCCACACCACCACCACTACCACACCTCACCTCCCTCCACTCAAGACCACCTCCACCTCCACACCCACCACCTCACCACCTCACCCACACCACCACCACCACCACACACACCACCCACCACCACACCACCACCCTCCATCCCACTACACCTCCACCTCCACCACCACACCTCCACCACCACACCCACCACCTCACCTCCCCTCTAAGACCACCACACTCCACCACCACCACACCTCCACCACACTCCCCACCTCCACCCACCACCACCTCCACCACCACCACACCTCCACTCCCCACACCCACCTCCACCACCACCACCACTACCACACCTCCACTCCACCACACACTCCACACCTCCACTACCACACCTCACACCTTCACCACCTCACCTCCACTACACCACACACCTCCCAACCACCACCACCACCACCACCACACCACACACACCACCACCACCACACCCACCCACACCTCACCACCTTCACCCTCCACCACCACCACCTCACCTCCTCCACCACACCACCACCTCCCCACCACCACCCACCTCACCACCACCACCACACCCACACCACTCCACCACCACCACCACACTCACCCTCCCACCCCACCTCCACCTACACACCACACTCACCCCACCACCACCACCCACCCACCTCCACCACCACACACCACCCACTTCACCACCACCTCCACCTCCACCTCCACCACCACCACTCACTCACCACCACCACCTCCACCACCACCACCCACCACCACACCACCACCACCCCACCCTCCACCACTACCACTACCTCACCACCACACCACCACACCCCACCACCCCACCACACCTCCACCACCACCACACCACCAACACACCACCACCACCACCACCACCACCACCACACCAAACCACACCACACCACCTCACCCCCACCACACCACCACCATCACCACACCTCCACTACTACCACACCATCTCACCTCCACCACACCACCAGTAACACACCTCCACCAGCACCATACATCCACCAGTACCACACCTCCACCATCACCACAACTCTACCACCACCACCACCACCTCTCCACCGCCACACCACCACTACACCGCCACTACCACACCTCCACCACCATCACACCTCCACTACTACCACACTACCTCACCTCCACCACACCTTCACTACCACCACACCACCACCACTACTATACCATCACCACCACACCTCCACCACCACCACACCTTCGCCACTACCACCCTACCACCCCCACCACTACCACCCTACCACACCACATTATGTATCCAAATTTTGTGACGAATTATATAAGCGAAAAAAATAAAAAAAATATTAAAAAAATATATAAGTTAAAGAAACAATATTTAATAAATTAGAACAATAATAAACCAAATGAAACAGAAATGGATTCAGTTATGATGCACAAAGGAACAATAAGTAAATAGATTAACTACAATAAAGTAATGATATATAAGATAAAGATTACCTTTGTATCTCCTCCAAGACGCCCTAAGAAACTATTCGTGATGCCATTTGGAACCTCCTACTGTTTCCTCTGGATATTCTAGGATGGCCAAAGATCTCATAGGATTCCCATGGAGACGTCCTATGCTAGTTTTGGAGATATTGTCAGTTTTCCAGCGCGTCCTTCACAAAACTTCCTGGGGAGACCTTGAAGGGGTGAGGGGTGAGTGACGGTAGTGGCCAGGCGGTGATAGCGTCCTCCGTCACGCCCTGAGCTGCTGTGACGATCGTGGGCGGCGCCGTTGTGGTCGACACTCGTCTCAAGGTGGTGTTATTACCTCGACGAGTGGAGGTAAGCACCAGAACACGAGGGCCGTAACTTACCACACCTTAATGATAACTTTATGAGCTGGTGGAGAGATGTATTACCATCAACCGTTGTCTTATTGCTTGTTGTGGATCTTGTTGTTGTTGCTTGAGAGTCCATCCTCAACACAGAACAGTATGTCATCTGTCTGTATGTCCGAAATTTATGAACGTGATAATTCAAACAGAGAGCAATGGTTCTTAATCAAACTACTATAGATATATTACAAGATCTTATGTGAGTTTGATTATCTCAGTATTTTGTGTCAATATTGTGGTCACTCTGGTGTTTATGGAGGTGACCACAAGTTTGTATTCGAAGCTTAAGTTATCACCAGGTTGAAAATAAAAATGATAGTAACAGTTAAGTGATATCTCTTCTGTTATCCCATGGCATAAGTGTGAAATATTACCATCGGTGTGTGTATGTGTAGTCTGTCTGTCTGTAATCAGAACTTTGTGAATTAATCTCGTCCGTCAGTTTTCAAGAGAATTACACACCACTGCCATAAGTGGTGCATATGCTGTATGGGTGGTTGGTGTCCGTATGTCATGAAAGTCCCAACTGCGGTGAGTTGGAGGCGGCACTTGAAAGTTCCTCGGGTGTGTAATAAGCCACAACCTGGTGTAATGAATTTCCAGCAGGTACAGTCGCGGTCAAAAGTTCCCTACCCGTGGTGAAGCTGAATCACGGAAATGAGCCCTGACTGACGACTGGTGCAGGGGTGCTGTCATGTCTCACTTGAAGTCGTTATTACTTTATTGTGGGAGGGTGTACACCGAGTGTACAGTACAGCACAGTACATCAAAAGTTATAACCGTAGACCACCATTCCCTGAGGTCTTTGTTTCTTCACTAGATAATAACATTTAACACTCTAGTCTAGGGGTAGGGGCTTCTCTCAGAATAAGATCCCCCAGGGGCTACACTGCCCTCTAAACGGCTAGAAGTCGGGCATCATAGTCTTGTGAGATGCTGAGAAAGGGTGGATACTCTCCCTCACCTTACCTTAGACTCAGTGTCCTTCTGAACACTTCTTGTGCCCCTGTGAACTTCTCTTTTAGCTTGGCACTGTTTAGGTACCAACGTGTGCCGTTCTCTCACGACCTCCTTCACTCTTACCCACGACGAGAAAAAGACGATCGGATCCCTTAAGAGGTTACTTATAAATAATGGCTTTGGGGAATAAGAGGGTATTTACAAGGATACTAATAGATTTCTTATGTAATAGTGATCTCTTCTGTAGGGTTGTATTGATAAAAGTTTAAGATTATACATAAACAATCAGTGATGATAATCCTGATGGCAACAATGTAAGGCAGGAGTTGATAAGTGAAACACACACACACATCATAACAGCACTTTATTGTCTTCCATAGTTCCCTCTACCGCCTCATCACGTTGTACAGTATACTGAAGTGAGCAGCGACTTAATCTTTGGTTGTTATATAACCGGTACATGTACTTCGTGCACTGCACAAGGACAGACATACTCACCACCGACACCAACAGCAATATATAAGTTTCCCTCACTATCTGTTGTTGTTTTCTTTGAGGTTGAGAATGAGATAATGTACAGTGACCGAAATTAGTCTGTGTAATAATGCAATGTTTCCTGTTATTAAGTTCTCAAATCTCCTCTGCACTTGCCTGGTACAGTAGTAAAAATATCATCGGTTGTCGATTTTTCTCCTTTGTAGCCACAATGTTACAGGGGGATCCATGGGGAGGGGTCGTGGGAGACCGGATCCCTACCCCCTTTTCATCAGGAAATTCCAATACTTTTTATTTAATGCAGTATTGTACTCAGGCGTTTCTGTATAGTAAAAAACAATTACTGTTGACCTCAAAATATTTCCTACTACCAAGTGCACTGGGCTTCAAAATGTCCTCCAAGTGGCCATGTTATTGGTCAGATTTTGAAGAATAAAATTGCCATGTTCCTCCACCCACAACTTTTTGGACCCCCCTTTTGATATTCCTGGATCCGCCCCTGATATTACACTTGAAACTTAAGCCCCGACAGCAATTAAGAATTCGACCAAGATGTCTTCTCAAGATATAACAAAGAAAAGTTTACTATCTACTTGTTTGTAAGATCTTAAAAGAATTTACTTTAAATTTAAACTGAAATTAGGTACATACCTTTAATCTGACTTACGAAATAATGAAGATCCGGCCTTGACTTGTTCAGGTAAGGGTACACGCCCGTTAAACATTAATTAACGCGGTTTACCTGCCAAGGACAAAAGCGCCCCGGTGTAAAATTATTTGTGGTTTCCTCGCGTCGCCTTTTGGCTGAAACTAACAATGTCACTGATTTTGGGTATTGTTTATGTAAAAGTGTAATGAAGAGACGAAAAGTGTGTGTGTGTGTGTGTGTGTGTGTGTGTGTGTGTGTGTGCCTTTGTGTGTTAGTGTAAGTATGCTTATTATAATGGTGATCACAATTAATATTTTCGATTATTGTAATGCAAAAGAAAATATAACAATCGTAGTAGTAATAACCTATACATATATATATATATATATATATATATATATATATATATATATATATATATATATATATATATATACAACACCATAATTGATCTACCATTATCTAAATAAATAAACTCGTTAAAATAATATAATGTAAACTCCAGCCAGGTGAGAGGAAGATGAGATCTGTGTACCTGTGCGTGCCGTGTGACAGGTGGCCACACAATTATCGACATCCCACTAAAGTTAACTCTTGTGTAAGTCTGTGTACCTCCGTCCCGTCACGCCTCCTGGGTGTGACACAAAAGCTTTAGACATACACCTTGGGTGTAAACAAAGTGTATATTTGTTTCTTGGGTGTATATATGGAGAAGTGTAGACAAACATCATGGGTATAGACGGAATAGTGTATTATTTCTGCAAAGTGTATAGGATCAAGATTCTCGTCAGCATCACTCAAAGACCCTGCCAACACACGTCACGCATCATGACCATGAACACAAATCTGTACCTCTCCCCGTCCCCCTGGGGCTGTATAGGGAGGTACGGGAGGGCCCACGGGGTGTCATCTCCAGTAGGCCGTGGAACCACACCCAAGGAAACCCGGGTAGGAGAGAGGAATATAAGGCAGAGGCTTCGTCAGGTTGGTAGCGAGTCTTCCGCCATCAGTGGGTCCAGCTCCACCGTTTACCATGGCGCTCCCTGTAAGTTGACGAAACCTGATGATCTAGTACTCTAGTTATTGTGTTTTGGGGGGTTTCTTTTTACAGTATATGTATGTACGGTATGTATTCCACTCTGTCTAGCTGTCTGCCCCGATTACGTAGCACTTTCAATTTCCCAGATACATTAGTAAAATAACTTTCACACACACACACACACACACACACACACACGCACACACAACTCTATAATTTCCAAAAACTGTCTTATACACCTTTACTACTGATCATAATTTCTCCCATTAATCACCTATAATAATATACTTACATAAATAAACTCATACAGTATGTGTAATATGACGCTAAGGAAATAGTATCATGACGCTGTATACTAGTCTATGAGTTCAAGACTACTGTACCTATATTGAGGCTTTGAACAACATCGACATTTTCAAGACTACGGCTCATATGATAAGCTTTGTGCCTTAGTAATATTAGGGACAATAAGCCTCTTTTCTCTTAGAACTAAAAATGAATATTGTTACTGTACTTTGAGACGATACGAAGCCAAGACCTGGAATCTCAGAGGTTCATAAGATTAAATTTCCTCAGCTGGGACGATAGGAATTGGCATCTTAAGTTAAATACTAGATTGATGTCTAAGATGACATTATACTTATTGTAAAATTTTATCTCAACTAGTTACGTTCATATAATACATTTTAAGGAATAATGTATGTGGAATCTTTGTAACTATAGATACGGGAATTTAAGTAACTCACAAAATATCTCTCTCTCTCTCTCTCTCTCTCTCTCTCTCTCTCTCTCTCTCTCTCTCTCTCTCTCTCTCTCTCTCTCTCTCACAGGTGCCAGTGATGTTGTGTTTGATGGTGGTAGTTCTGGTAGTGAGGGGGGTAGAGTGTGATCCAGGGCCTCACTACCATCACCATGCAGGCGAGGGCGTGGCCGTACATCCCGGAGGTGGTACATCCTACGTCCGTGGTGTGGGTAAGCGCTCTGCTGATCCTGGACCTGAACCTGAACCCGAACCCTTAGCCAGTGCCGAACCCCATAACCCGTATTATGGCTATCGTTATCCGTATTACGGTCACCACTATCTTCGCCGTTACGGTTACGGTTACCCTCACTCTCACTACCACAAGACGGTCCACAAGCACCACAAGCGTTCTGCAGACCCCTCACCATCTCCTGAACCCGAACCCGAAGCCTTAGCCAGTGCCGAACCCCATAACCCGTACTATGGCTATCGTTATCCGTATTATGGTCACCACTATCTTCACCGCCGTTACGGTTACGGTTACCCTCACTCTCACTACCACAAGACGGCCCACAAGCACCACAAGCGTTCTGCAGACCCCTCACCATCTCCTGAACCCGAACCCGAACCCGCCTTAGCCAGTGCCGAACCCCATAACCCGTACTATGGCTATCGTTATCCGTATTACGGTCACCACTATCCTCACCGCCGCTACGGTTACGGTTACCCTCACTCTCACTCCCACAAGACGGCCCATAAGCACCACAAGCGCTCTGCAGACCCCTCACCATCTCCTGAACCCGAACCCGAAGCCACAGCCGATCCTGAACCCCATTACAGATACCCATACCGCTACCATGGCTATCACGGCTATCCCTACCACTACTACAGACACTCATGGTAGGACAGCGGGTTCTCCCATGATCCCGCCGTTCCAGACTATGTCCGGTTCTCATGCCCGATAGTCCGGGTTCGCTCACCTGGTTTTTCGGACACTGATGAACCATCAAGGTTGATGATGATGCTGGCACCCCATAAGACTGTGTGAATCGTTTTCTTTGATCTTCAGTTAAGCACAAACTCAAATAAATCTTCATTGACTTGATAATTGGTGTTTTTCATGTACCTTGTGTGTCTGTAAACAAGTATAGTAATTATAGTGAGATAATGGATACTTCTTCATTTTTATAAACATATTTGGTGGTTAGTGATGTATAATGATTATGTTAACAACACTCTTTAAACAAATTCTACACTTCAAGAGAATTATATCATTATTTTGTATTTCTGAATAAAGAAACACGTTCAGCAACACCTTAGCAGAGAAAAATATTAATAAGTTTGAATATCTGCAAGTGTTTTTTTCCCATCAGGATCAGATGTTCATGATCTCTGGGGCGGAAAAAAAAATCCTGACCATTTTATGTAGGTAAGTCCTGTTTCAGACTCATTTAAACAACCAAAGGACAATCATAACTTTCTTAACTATATCCTCGACCCTCTCCCTATACCTTACAGGACCTGAAGGAAACTCGATACCCTTAGTTCAACATTACATTTCATTTTTTTCTTAAGGTCACAATATGTAAAATAATCTACAGTTAAAGGAAGATGGTAGAATAAGACGGTAGTTATGTACTCGTGGACAAAAGTCATATCGCCTCTCCTGCTGCTACACGACCCCGGGGATTCAGACTCGTGGACCCGAAGCAATAAACAAAACAAAAGAAGAAAAGGCAACAGAGAAGGACGAACCATAATAGAGGAACAGTCGAAGAAGTATGAATGAAAAAGAAGAAGAAATGGTAGATAAAGTAGAGAAGAAAAGAGAAAAACACTTTAATTACCCGAGTGAGAAGTAGGTCAGTAGGGAAGGTGTAGCTTTTATACCTCACCCTCCTCACCACGATATTTACAAAGACTCGTAAGTTAAATGTTTCCCCTTAGCTACTGACGTGAGGATGTGTTTAACTGCCTCAGCTTACAACAACGGGTGATATGATATACAAAATGGCGTCGAAATTTCCCTGAGACTTCACTGTTCTATGATATTTAAAAAAAATCGTAGAATTATTATTATTTTTTTTACGTTATGTTAGTATGATTTATTGACAGGTAAATTGGAATATATGAAAACCCTCTCCCACGATGGCCACAGTGAACGCAACAGCTATTTTTAACTGTAATTGGAGACATTTTATCTGGAGGGTAAGAAGCAGTAATAGGTGAGTGTTACGAACCCCTCCACCAATTGTCATGATCTACCTACCCAGCACTACGAACCACGCCATCTATTGTCCTGATCAACCTACCCAGCACCACGAGCAACGCCATCTAGGGACGAGACACGAGTATGACTCGTCTTAGTTACCACTCCGGGGTTTCCCTTCTCCATATCCTGGTTGTTGCGTCACTTCCTCCAAGTCTTTTTTGTCAGCTCGAGTTCAAGGAGAGAGGACTACACTCTGGGAAGTGACCACAGGATCATCTATCCTCTAAACCTACGGCTCAGTGACTACCTACCGTCTTCTACAATACTCAGCCTTGCTCGTCAGCCATCTCAGCTCCTCACTTAAGTATTTGTAATCTTGTATTGCCTCTCCGACCTCCACCTTGCTTCACGATTGTTTTATGTTGTATTAATATGTATATACTGTAGTGGAATTCTCCCCTACAAACGCTGTTTGTCGCTGCCTAGCCGACCCCACCAATTCCCCAGTGTATGCCTCGTGGTCTAGGTCAACCAGCGCCGCCATACACCACGGAGCGGGGGTCAACTGCTAAGCCACGCCTACCCCCGCTATTTAAGACCTGACCTCGTGGTGATCTGCCTCTTTCTCTACCTACAGCCGCAGCCAGCAACACCTCCTCCTCTGCCGCTGCCTGGCGGCCCTCGCTCCTCCTCCACCTGCCTGGCGGCCCTCGCTCCTCCTCCGCCTGCCAGGCGGTCCTCTCTCCCGCTGGCGAGCATGGCGACCCACAAGCTGTCCTTCTCTGAGCGTCCTCACCAACCAGCTCTCTACATCACGCTTGTAACCATGCTGCCTTCCCAGCACCAAGCTGCATTGTACATCCAATACAACATGTATATAGAGAGCACATTGTGAGTTTTCTCCATCCCATCCTGAGTGTGAACCAAACATCCTACCCACAATACTGTTAATGTTTAGGTTAAGTATGGTTAAGGGTAATTTATAGGAAGCTGAATATTTTGTTAAGGAATTTATGGTACTTTATTATACACAACGAAAACTCGCATCCTTTGTCTACCCTTTTATAGTCCGATTGTCTTTGTTTTTTGTTTTTTTGTTACCTGTTGGGATCTGGGTAGACGTTTAACTATATTATAAATCCCCAACTCGTAACAAATGGCGACCCTGACAGGACTCGACCTTAAGTACCATATTCCTTCCTCCCTTGTAATTCCTTGTTAATTATTCCTCCCAGTCACTTCTGTTCACAATTGCTTTACGGTGGTTTAAAGATTCCTTCATATGTGTGTGCATATATTGCTATTATCGTACAGTAAGAGTGACAGACGTAGGATATTAGGTTCCAAGTGTCATAAGGCTTACCTGTTATTACACGTGGCAGTCGTGTAGTAAGTCTTATCGAGTGTAGGGAAGAATCCGGATCTTTATATTAATCCTGCATACACCTCTTCCTGCTTCTACCAGGGCTGTTTAACCGATCTTTATATTAATGCTGCAATACGCCCTTCCTCTTCAAGTATCTCAGGTTGTTAATCCGGATCTTTATATAAATGCCGTAATACGCCCTTCCTCTTTCAAGTATCTCAGGGTTGTTAATCCGGATCTTAATATTAATGCCGTAATACGCCCTTCCTCTTTCAATTATCTCAGGGTTGTTAATCCGGATCTTTATATTAATGCCGTAATACGCCCTTCCTCTTTCAAGTATCTCAGGGTTGTTAATCCGGATCTTTATATTAATGCCGTAATACGCCCTTCCCCTTTTAAGTCTCTTATCCTTATCTAAGGATCTTATCAGTAGAACAATATTCATAAGTGTAATTTCCCTAGGTATAACTTGGGTAGTCCTGGAGGAGTGGAAGAGCAAGATACCATTTCACATCTTGAAGCATGTGGAGGATCGTGGAGAGGTTAATTTGGGACGTGCCGCTGAGCTGGCTGATGAGTATGCCTTGCTGGTGCAGTCACTGTGCCGTAGGGAACGTGGTACTTCCCGACATGTTAGGTCCTCCTCTGATGATAACCTTGGGGGCGTGAGTGGTAGGTCGAAAGATCCCACACCTACCCCCCCTGATGCAACCAAGTTTACTTGTTCTTACTGTAAAAACCCAGGCCATACGATCCAGACTTGTAAACACTCAAAGTGTAGAATTGCTAAAAGTAGTTCCCTGGATCCCAAATCCAAACCAATAGCAACCACCAATGTGGAAAGGTCCCATCAGGATCTCTTCTCTTCATTCACCTATGAGGGAAAAATTTCAATCATAGAGGGGTCTCGTTCTTTCCCTATTCGTATACTACGTGATACGGGCGCAGCACAATCTATCCTCCTGTTTAACGTCATTCCTGATATACCTACCGCATTTACTAATGAGTGTTCTAATTTCAGATCTCTCATCCCATTCTTCCTATCCTTTAGCTAAAGTGCACCTCCAATGTCCCTTGATTACTGGGGAAGTGCAAATAGCCATTAGGAAAGACCCAATGCCTGTGTGCGGCATTCATTTATTATTGGGTAATGACTTGGTAGGAGATCTAGTGGTTCCTCACATAAAGACAGTCGACTCTCCCTTACCTGTCAACTCCACCACTGACCTTAAAGAAACTATTCCTCACCTTTTCCCATCTTGTGCTGTCACCCGGTCACAGAGTGTGCGAAATGGGCCCTCTTCATCTAAAACCACCTCCAATATCTTCCTACCCACAGAAGATCTGTACAATAAGACCATTAGTAAGGATGAGCTCATTAAAGCCCAACAATCTGATCCAACTTTGTTCAAACAGGTGATGAAAGACCTCAGTGTGGACCATTGTACATCTTCGGCTTACCACCCACACTCCCAAGGTTGCTTGGATCAGTTCCATCAAAACTTTCAAATCAATGCTAATAAACTATCTCCCCTCAACTATATAGTCCATACTCCTGATCGCAGGAAAGATTCACAACTTGTTCACATTAATCTCATGAAACTTTACCATTCCAGGCAGTCAGAGGAAGACATCCCAGAGGCTATAAGCCTACCTGTATTGCATACGGTTTTGTCAGGGCCGGAGCCGGAGACAGATGACATGGACCTATTGTAGAATTTAGACTTCCCTCTACCGATAGAAAACCCTGCTAACAGTCACATACTCAACAACTTGGAGGAGTATTTTTCTGTTCTGAATCCATCTCAAGCAAAAGATCTCACTCAGTTATTATCAACATTTCCTAAAGTCACCTCAGACCTCCCAGGGTTTTGCAATATACTTAAACATGATATTAAGCTAATCTCAGATGATGTACAACCCATTAGGCAATCAGCATATCGACTAAATCCACAAAAAAAAGAGATTATGAAAAAGGAGGTAGATTTTTTGTTAAAACATAACTTAGCTGAGCCTAGTACCTCCCCCTGGGCTTCACCTTGCCTTCTCATTCCAAAACGCGATGGCACTTTTCGTTTCTGTACCGATTATCGTAAAGTGAACCAGGTCACTGTCTCTGACTCCTACCCTTTACCTTTGATTGAAGATATAATAGACAGCATAGGCTGTGCAAAATTTATCAGTACCGTGGACCTGTTGAAAGGATATTATCAAATGGGACTCACGGATAGGGCAAAAATAATCTCGGCATTTATAACTCCATTTGGTCTTTTTCAATATTTAGTTATGGCGTTTGGCTTTTCTAATGCTCCGGCCACATTCCAGAGGGCCATCAATTACCTAATTCAAGACCTAGGTGGGACGTTCGCCTACCTGGATGACCTGGTGGTGGTGTCGGACAGCTGGGACGAACATCTGGTGCGTTTGGAGCTACTGTTTGCACGACTTCAAGAGACTGGATTCACCATAAACCTGGCTAAATCTGCTTTTGGCCGGGCCTCAGTGACTTACTTGGGACATATCGTTGGGCATGGTATGGTGAGACCCAAGGACGCAAACGTTAGAGCCATCTTGTCCTTCCCCACTCCAAGGACGAGGAAGGAACTCATGCGCTTCCTGGGGATGTGCGGCTACTACCGTCGGTTCTGCAGTAACTTCTCCAGCGTGGTCGGACCCCTCACAGACCTTACCAGTTCTGCGGTCCATTACATCTGGAACCAGAAGTGCGACCAGTCTTTCCACCGCCTCAAAGCCTTCCTTGCCTCTAGGCCTGTAGTCCACCCCCCTGACTACACCTCGCCCTTTCATCTGCAAATCGACGCTAGCGGTGTCAGAGTGGGGGCTGTGCTCCTACAACCCGACCCAACCACTGATGTCCTTCACCCTGTGGCATACTACTCCGCCAAGTTGAAAAAACATCAGACCAACTACTCGACCATAGAGAAGGAGGCCCTGGCTCTGGTGTTGGCAATAAAGAAGTTTGAATGTTACCTCCAGTCTTGCCCACAAACAACCCTAGTCTTCACCGACCATAACCCACTCACGTTCATCCAAACCAACAAGACCTCCAACCAGCGAATCCTCCGCTGGGCTCTCCTGACCCGTGTGACAGGTGGCCACACAATTATCGACATCCCACTAAAGTTAACTCTTGTGTAAGTCTGTGTACCTCCGTCCCGTCACGCCTCCTGGGTGTGACACAAAAGCTTTAGACATACACCTTGGGTGTAAACAAAGTGTATATTTGTTTCTTGGGTGTATATATGGGGAAGTGTAGACAAACATCATGGGTATAGACGGAATAGTGTATTATTTCTGCAAAGTGTATAGGATCAAGATTCTCGTCAGCATCACTCAAAGACCCTGCCAACACACGTCACGCATCATGACCATGAACACAAATCTGTACCTCTCCCCGTCCCCTTGGGGCTGTATAGGGAGGTACGGGAGGGCCCACGGGGTGTCATCTCCAGTAGGCCGTGGAACCACACCCAAGGAAACCCGGGTCGGAGAGAGGAATATAAGGCAGAGGCTTCGTCAGGTTGGTAGCGAGTCTTCCGCCATCAGTGGGTCCAGCTCCACCGTTTACCATGGCGCTCCCTGTAAGTTGACGAAACCTGATGATCCAGTACTCTAGTTATTGTGTTTTGGGGGGTTTCTTTATACAGTATATGTATGTACGGTATGTATTCCACTCTGTCTAGCTGTCTGCCCCGATTACGTAGCACTTTCAATTTCCCAGATACATTAGTAAAATAACTTTGACACACACACACACACACACACACACACACACGCACACACAACTCTATAATTTCCAAAAACTGTCTTATGCACCTTTACTACTGATCATAATTTCTCCCATTAATCACCTATAATAATATACTTACATAAATAAACTCATACAGTATGTGTAATATGACGCTAAGGAAATAGTATCATGACGCTGTATACTAGTCTATGAGTTCAAGACTACTGTACCTATATTGAGGCTTTGAACAACATCGACATTTTCAAGACTACGGCTCATATGATAAGCTTTGTGCCTTAGTAATATTAGGGACAATAAGCCTCTTTTCTCTTAGAACTAAAAATGAATATTGTTACTGTACTTTGAGACGAGACGAGGCCAAGACCTGGAATCTAAGAGGTTCATAAGATTAAATTTCCTCAGCTGGGACGATAGGAATTGGCATCTTAAGTTAAATACTAGATTGATGTCTAAGATGACATTATACTTAATGTAAAATTTTATCTCAACTAGTTACGTTCATATAATACATTTTAGGGAATAATGTATGTGGAATCTTTGTGACTATAGATACGGGAATTTAAGTAACTAACAAAATCTCTCTCACAGGTGCCAGTGACGTTGTGTTTGATGGTGGTAGTTCTGGTAGTGAGGGGGGTAGAGTGTGATCCAGGGCCTCACTACCATCACCATGCAGGCGAGGGCGTGGCCGTACATCCCGGAGGTGGTACATCCTACGTCCGTGGTGTGGGTAAGCGCTCTGCTGATCCTGGACCTGAACCTGAACCCGAACCCTTAGCCAGTGCCGAACCCCATAACCCGTATTATGGCTATCGTTATCCGTATTACGGTCACCACTATCTTCGCCGTTACGGTTACGGTTACCCTCACTCTCACTACCACAAGACGGTCCACAAGCACCACAAGCGTTCTGCAGACCCCTCACCATCTCCTGAACCCGAACCCGAAGCCTTAGCCAGTGCCGAACCCCATAACCCGTACTATGGCTATCGTTATCCGTATTATGGTCACCACTATCTTCACCGCCGTTACGGTTACGGTTACCCTCACTCTCACTACCACAAGACGGCCCACAAGCACCACAAGCGTTCTGCAGACCCCTCACCATCTCCTGAACCCGAACCCGAACCCGAAGCCTTAGCCAGTGCCGAACCCCATAACCTGTACTATGGCTATCGGTATCCGTATTACGGTCACCACTATCCTCACTGCCGCTACGGTTACGGTTACCCTCACTCTCACTCCCACAAGACGGCCCATAAGCACCACAAGCGCTCTGCAGACCCCTCACCATCTCCTGAACCCGAACCCGAACCCTTAGCCAGTGCCGAACCCCATAACCCGTACTATGGCTATCGTTATCCGTATTACGGTCACCACTATCCTCACCGCCGCTACGGTTACGGTTACCCTCACTCTCACTCCCACAAGACGGCCCACAAGCACCACAAGCGCTCTGCAGACCCCTCACCATCTCCTGAACCCGAACCCGAACCCTTAGCCAGTGCCGAACCCCATAACCCGTACTATGGCTATCGTTATCCGTATTACGGTCACCACTATCCTCACCGCCGCTACGGTTACGGTTACCCTCACTCTCACTCCCACAAGACGGCCCATAAGCACCACAAGCGCTCTGCAGACCCCTCACCATCTCCTGAACCCGAACCCGAAGCCACAGCCGATCCTGAACCCCATTACAGATACCCATACCGCTACCATGGCTATCACGGCTATCCCTACCACTACTACAGACACTCATGGTAGGACAGCGGGTTCTCCCATGATCCCGCCGTTCCAGACTATGTCCGGTTCTCATGCCCGATAGTCCGGGTTCGCTCACCTGGTTTTTCGGACACTGATGAACCATCAAGGTTGATGATGATGCTGGCACCCCATAAGACTGTGTGAATCGTTTTCTTTGATCTTCAGTTAAGCACAAACTCAAATAAATCTTCATTGACTTGATAATTGGTGTTTTTCATGTACCTTGTGTGTCTGTAAACAAGTATAGTAATTATAGTGAGATAATGGATACTTCTTCATTTTTATAAACATATTTGGTGGTTAGTGATGTATAATGATTATGTTAACAACACTCTTTAAACAAATTCTACACTTCAAGAGAATTATATCATTATTTTGTATTTCTGAATAAAGAAACACGTTCAGCAACACCTTAGCAGAGAAAAATATTAATAAGTTTGAATATCTGCAAGTGTTTTTTTCCCATCAGGATCAGATGTTCATGATCTCTGGGGCGGAAAAAAAAATCCTGACCATTTTATGTAGGTAAGTCCTGTTTCAGACTCATTTAAACAACCAAAGGACAATCATAACTTTCTTAACTATATCCTCGACCCTCTCCCTATACCTTACAGGACCTGAAGGAAACTCGATACCCTTAGTTCAACATTACATTTCATTTTTTTCTTAAGGTCACAATATGTAAAATAATCTACAGTTAAAGGAAGATGGTAGAATAAGACGGTAGTTATGTACTCGTGGACAAAAGTCATATCGCCTCTCCTGCTGCTACACGACCCCGGGGATTCAGACTCGTGGACCCGAAGCAATAAACAAAACAAAAGAAGAAAAGGCAACAGAGAAGGACGAACCATAATAGAGGAACAGTCGAAGAAGTATGAATGAAAAAGAAGAAGAAATGGTAGATAAAGTAGAGAAGAAAAGAGAAAAACACTTTAATTACCCGAGTGAGAAGTAGGTCAGTAGGGAAGGTGTAGCTTTTATACCTCACCCTCCTCACCACGATATTTACAAAGACTCGTAAGTTAAATGTTTCCCCTTAGCTACTGACGTGAGGATGTGTTTAACTGCCTCAGCTTACAACAACGGGTGATATGATATACAAAATGGCGTCGAAATTTCCCTGAGACTTCACTGTTCTATGATATTTAAAAAAAATCGTAGAATTATTATTATTTTTTTTACGTTATGTTAGTATGATTTATTGACAGGTAAATTGGAATATATGAAAACCCTCTCCCACGATGGCCACAGTGAACGCAACAGCTATTTTTAACTGTAATTGGAGACATTTTATCTGGAGGGTAAGAAGCAGTAATAGGTGAGTGTTACGAACCCCTCCACCAATTGTCATGATCTACCTACCCAGCACTACGAACCACGCCATCTATTGTCCTGATCAACCTACCCAGCACCACGAGCAACGCCATCTAGGGACGAGACACGAGTATGACTCGTCTTAGTTACCACTCCGGGGTTTCCCTTCTCCATATCCTGGTTGTTGCGTCACTTCCTCCAAGTCTTTTTTGTCAGCTCGAGTTCAAGGAGAGAGGACTACACTCTGGGAAGTGACCACAGGATCATCTATCCTCTAAACTACGGCTCAGTGACTACCTACCGTCTTCTACAATACTCAGCCTTGCTCGTCAGCCATCTCAGCTCCTCACTTAAGTATTTGTAATCTTGTATTGCCTCTCCCACCTCCACCTTGCTTCACGATTGTTTTATGTTGTATTAATATGTATATACTGTAGTGGAATTCTCCCCTACAAACGCTGTTTGTCCCTGCCTAGCCGACCCCACCAATTCACCAGTGTATGCCTCGTGGTCTAGGTCAACCAGCGCCGCCATACACCACGGAGCGGGGGTCAACTGCTAAGCCACGCCTACCCCCGCTATTTAAGACCTGACCTCGTGGTGATCTGCCTCTCTTTCTACCTACAGCCGCAGCCAGCAACACCTCCTCCGCCGCTGCCTGGCGGCCTTCCCTCGCTCCTCCGCCTGCCTGGCGGTCCTCTCTCCCGCTGGCGAGCATGGCGACCCACAAGCTGTCCTTCTCTGAGCGTCCTCACCAACCAGCTCTCTCTACATCACGCTTGTAACCATGCTGCCTTCCCAGCACCAAGCTGCATTGTACATCCAATACAACATGTATATAGAGAGCACATTGTGAGTTTCCTTTCTCCATCCCATCCTGAGTGTGAACCAAACAATCTCATACCCCACAAATGGTGACCCCGGAGATTCGCACTCACACAGGATGGAGGAGAAACTGATCACGCTCCCAGTCTTCAAGCAACATGGAAGACTGGCTTATCCACCCAGAAGCAGCTCTCATCGGCTCTACAGCTACTGTCTCTACACCGCAGGTTAGACACCCTAGAGCAGCTCTGCTACTCTAAGCAGACACCAGCTCCTCTTCCTGCCCCAAGCACCACGTCCTACCGACCCCAGCACACCCGTCCTGCCTCAGACGCCGACCCCGGCCCAGCAGTAACCCCTGCCGCCCTTGATGCGGCCTCTGTTCCTGAGTGCGGACACACACACCCCTCTTTTCTCCCCCAGGTACTCCCTGCTAATGTCCTGCACCCTGCTGCTGTCGTGGACCCAGCTGCTGTCACGAGCCCTCATCCACTTCTGCTGACGCAGCCCCTGCTCCTGACCCAGGCCCACACACCCCAGCAGGCGCATCTGACGACTCTGTACCTGCCGTGAGGGAAGCACAACATTCATCGCCTCCACACACCCTTATTCTCCCTCTCTACTCCCACAGATATTGTGTATCTAGACAGTTGTCCCCAGCGACCGGCTCATCCACGCCATCGCCGTTGTCTCACATGAGGCACGCACCGCCCGTTCTGCCTCACATGTGCTATGCAACTCTGCAGACAACAAGTCTCCTACACAGCCTGGAGGGAAGGGGGAGTATTGTAGTGGAATTCTCCCCTACAAACGCTGTTTGTCGCTGCCTAGCCGACCCCACCAATTCCCCAGTGTATGCCTCGTGGTCTAGGTCAACCAGCGCCGCCATACACCACGGAGCGGGGGTCAACTGCTAAGCCACGCCTACCCCCGCTATTTAAGACCTGACCTCGTGGTGATCTGCCTCTCTTTCTACCTACAGCCGCAGCCAGCAACACCTCCTCCGCCGCTGCCTGGCGGCCTTCCCTCGCTCCTCCGCCTGCCTGGCGGTCCTCTCTCCCGCTGGCGAGCATGGCGACCCACAAGCTGTCCTTCTCTGAGCGTCCTCACCAACCAGCTCTCTCTACATCACGCTTGTAACCATGCTGCCTTCCCAGCACCAAGCTGCATTGTACATCCAATACAACATGTATATAGAGAGCACATTGTGAGTTTCCTTTCTCCATCCCATCCTGAGTGTGAACCAAACATCTCATACCCCACAATACTGTTAATGTTTAGGTTAAGTATGGTTAAGGGTAATTTATAGGAAGCTGATTATTTTGTTAAGGAATTCATGGTACTTTATTATACACAACGAAAACTCGCATCCTTTGTCTACCCTTTTATAGTCCGATTGTCTGGTTTTTTTTTATTGTTGCCTGTTGGGATCTGGGTAGACTTTTAACTATATTCTAAATCCCCAACTCGTAACAAATGGCGACCGTGACAGGACCCGACATTAAGTACCATATTCCTTCCTCCCTTGTAACTCCTTGTTAATTATTCCTCCCAGTCACTTCTGTTCACAATTGCTTTACGGTGGTTTAAAGTTTCCTTCATATGTGTGTGCATATATTGGTATTATCGTACAGTAAGAGTGACAGACGTAGGATATTAGGTTCCAAGTGTCATAAGGCTTACCTGTTATTACACGTGGCAGTCGTGTAGTAAGTCTTATCGAGTGTAGGGAAGAATCCGGATCTTTATATTAATCCCGTAATACACCCTTCCTGTTTACTCAGGGCTGTTAATCCGGATCTTATATTAATGCCGTAATACGCCCTTCCTCTTTCAAGTATCTCAGGGTTGTTAATCCGGATCTTTATATAAATGCCGTAATACGCCCTTCCTCTTTCAAGTATCTCAGGGTTGTTAATCCGGATCTTTATATAAATGCCGTAATACGCCCTTCCTCTTTCAAGTATCTCAGGGTTGTTAATCCGGATCTTTATATTAATGCCTTAATATGCCCTTCCTCTTTCAAGTATCTCAGGGTTGTTAATCGGGATCTTTATATTAATGCCGTAATACGCTCTTCCCCTTTCAAGTCTCTTATCCTTATCTAAGGATATTCTCAGAAGAACAATATTCAGAAGTGTAATTTCCCGAGGTAAAACTTGGTAGTCCTGGAGGAGTGGAAAAGCAAGATACCATTTCACATCTTGAAGCATGTGGAGGAGCGTGAAGAGGTTAATTTAGGGCGTGCTGCTGAGCTGGCTGATGAGTACGCCTTGCTGGTGGAGTCACTGTGCCGTAGGGAACGTGGTACTTCCCGACATGTTAGGTCCTCCTCTGATGATAACCTTGGGGGCGTGAGTGGTAGGTCGAAAGGTCCCACACCTACTCCCCCCGATGCAACCAAGCTTACTTGTTCTTACTGTAAAAACCCAGGCCATACAATCCAGACTTGTAAACACCCAAAGTGTCGAATTGCTAAAAGTAGTTCCCTGGATCCCAAATCCAAACCAATAGCAAATACCAATGTGGAAAGGCCCCATCAGGATCTCTTCTCTTCATTCACCTATGAGGGAAAAATTTCAATCATAGAGGGGTCTCGTTCTTTCCCTATTCGTATACTACGTGATACGGGCGCAGCACAATCTATCCTCCTGTTTAACGTCATTCCTGATATATCTACCGCATTTACTAATGAGAGTGTTCTAATTTCAGATCTCTCATCCCATTCTTCCTATCCTTTAGCTAAAGTGCACCTCCAATGTCCCTTGATTACTGGGGAAGTGCAAATAGCCATTAGGAAAGACCCAATGCCTGTGTGCGGCATTCATTTATTATTGGGTAATGACTTGGTAGGAGATCTAGTGGTTCCTCAACATAAAGACAGTCGACTCTCCCTTACCTGTCAACTCCACCACTGACCTTAAAGAAACTATTCCTCACCTTTTCCCATCTTGTGCTGTCACCCGGTCACAGAGTGTGCGAAATGGGCCCTCTTCATCTAAAACCACCTCCAATATCTTCCTACCCACAGAAGATCTGTACAATAACACCATTAGTAA